TAAGGTACCCACAAGGAACTCCTTGTGTGGATTTTCAGACAATTCCGTTGAAAAATTTGGGTAAAATCATCAAAATACCGAATATCGGGGGGTACCGTTATATGGGGGCTATACGATATTGTGGACCTATATAGATAATTCTCTGCGGAGGTATAAAGTACCCACAAGAAACTCTTTGTGTGTATTTTCAGACAATTCCGTTGAAAAATGTGGGTAAAATCATCAAAATCCCGACTATCGGGGGGTACCGTTATATGGGGGCTATACGATATCGTGGACCTATATGGACAATTCTCTGCCGAGGTATAAAGTACCCACAAGGAACTCCTTGTGTGGATTTTCAGACAAATCCGTTGAAAAATGTGGGTAAAATCATTAAAATACCGAATATCGGGGGGTACCATTACATGGGGGCTACACGATATCGTGGACCGATATAGCCCATCTTCGAACTTGACCTGCCTGCAGACAAAAGAGAGATCTGTGCAAAATTTTAGCTTCCTATCTTAATTCGTTTAGACTGTAGCGTGATTACAACAGACGGACAGACGGACGGACAGGGCTAAATCGTCTTAGAATTTTACGCTGATCAAGAATATATATACTTTGTTGGGTCTAAATGATTATTTCGATGAGTTACAAACGGAATGACGAACTTAATATACCCTCTTTGGTGGAGGGTATAAAAACTGCAGGCATTTAACAGTGAAACAAAACACGACACATGCCTGACCTGCTTAAATTATTGTAAGAATTAGAAATCATATTAGTCCAAAAATCATATTTAATTTCGGGGTTTCCTCGTGTTTTGTTTCACATTCTGATGACAACTTAGTACCTTCCCATTGATACGCTTCTAGGCCTTCAAAACGAAACCCAAATATGTGGTTGCTTTTTCAAAAAAAATTCTACGGAATTGTTATTCCCGCAAATATCCAGCCAATATATGGTGTTCACAAACCTGATCACTCAATTTGAATCTGCTATCACATTTAGAAGGCTCCTTAGAATTCCGTTTTATTTCGATAACCTCCATGAAGGGTATATTAAGTTTGTCATTCCATTTGTAACACCTCGAAATATACATTTTAGGCCCCACTAAGTATTTATATTCTTGATCAGCATAAAACTCGATGTCGATTTAGTGATGTCCGACCATCTGTCTGTCTGTGGAAATCACTTTAGCTTCCGAACGAATTGAAGTAGATCAATAAAATGTTACTCAAATGTATATTATGTCTGCTGGACTTTTGGTATTGAAAATGGGCCATGTCGGTCCACGTTTTCCTATAGCCCCCATATAACGGTACCTCCCGATATTCGGTATATTGATGATTTCAACAACATTATTCACCGGCATCGTTTCAAATTTCGTATTGGAGGGTCCTAATGGGCACTGCAGCCTTTGCCAAAAATTTTTGTATGCAGGTCCAAATCTTCGTATAGGCCCCATATAACGGTTCCTCCCTATATTCGGTATTTTGATGATTTCAGCAACATTATTCACCGAAATCGTTTCAAATTTTGTACTGGAAGATCCTAATGGGTATTACATCCTTAGACAGAAAATTATCTATGCAGGTCCACGTCTTCGTATAGCACCCATATAACGGTAACTCCAGATATTCGGTATTTTGATGATTTCAGGAACATTATTCACCGGAATTGTTTCAAATTTGGTATTTGAAGTTTGTTATGGGTACTATAGCCTATGACAACAATTTTTGTATGCAGGTCCAAGTCTTCGTATAGCCCCCATATAACGATAAATCCCGATATTAGGTATTTTGATGATTTCAGAAACATTATTCACCGGAATTGTTTCAAATTTTGTACTGGAAGATCCTAATGGGTATTACCTCCTAAGACAGAAAATTGTCTATGCATGTCCACGTCTTCGGTACCTCCCGATTTAATAATAATGTGATTTTTGCGACCTTATTCACCGTAATTGTAACAAATATCGTATTTGAAGTTCGTAATGGGCACTATAACCTATGACAAAAAAAATTCGTATACAGGTCCACGTCTTCGTATAGTCCCCTATATAATGGTATTCATATTCGGATTTTTTTTTTGAAATTTTTCAATTTCCTTCGAAATGGTGAAGGGTATTTAAAGTACGGCCCGGCCAAACTTAGCTTCTTGTTTACTTGTTTTCATTTAAATGCTAATTTAAATCAAACTCTATTTATTATTTAAATAAAAGGTTCCAGATAACTTATGGTACATAAGGTTAATTGTGCACCTTATGGTCAATATCAGTCCAAATAAACTGAATTTTGGCATATTCGACCGAATACAGTACAGAATCTAGTACATTAAAAGTACAGAAAATCGGTTCAGATATAGCTATAGCTCCCATATATATTTTTCATCCGATTTGGTGTTAAAGTCCATCACTCCTCAACAATGCAATTCGATACCGGGCATCTGATACTCAAAAACACGTCTGCTAAATTTTATTGAGATCAGTTCAGATTTTTATATAGCTAAATACGCATAATGGTGCAGGGTATCATATAGTCGGTCCGCCTAGCTGTTCCTAGCTTGCCAACGCCGAGTCAAGAATTCACAACCGTTAGTTTTGAAGTCGGACACTATGTATCGACGTTACTAAATTCGTGATAATAAGAAAAGTAGGCAATTGGGGTTTTTTTAGAAAAAAAAACATTACTTTAAACCCACTAGTAATTCAGAAGGTTTTATGTTTACAATACCTATTTTGTAGATTATTCGGCTCAAACAGTATCAAAATTTTGCTAAGTATATTGAAATGATGTTTACAACTCCAAATCATAATTCAATGTATCACCAATATCCATATTTTGCAACCATGTCTAGCTTCCACTACAATTCAGAAATAGGATATTTCAGACCATGCTGTTATAAAATAAGGTATATGTTGATAAGGATTTTCAAAACATCAACAATTGGACAGTACTGATATACATAAATTTCGAAAATATTACGAGGATGTGATCAACTAATTACTACTGAAATGTTATCGATTACAGCCACTTCTCTTGGAAAATCTGATTTAGAGTGTAAAGACAAATAAAATCGTCCATTATTGTTACATAAGGTTATTTTTTTAAAAAAATTATCGAAATTTAACAATTCTTTCCATGGAGATTTTTATCCTACAAAAATCAAAGCTCCCAAACTGCAGTATATTGGATTGGAAATATAGGCAATATCTGCAGCTAATGATGTATGGATCTGTTTCAATAGATAGGTAGAGCAACATTGAATTTTTGAGGAAATTTGTTCAACGCATTTGAAATGCAAAGAATAAAGACCTTCTACCCAACAATATTTTCATTGTCCATTTCGACTTCTAAACCTTTCCGGATTTGTCTCAAAATTGGTAGTCATAATGGGTTGTAGTCCCGGTGGGGAAAAATTGTATGTATAGGTCCACGTTTTAGTATAGTCCCCATATTACCGCACCTCCGGATATTCAGTATTTTGATGATTTTTCCCACATTTTTCCACGGATTTATCCAAAGATTGGTATTTGTAGTTCGTAATGGGTTCTAGCCTCTGTGACAGAACATCAAACCTTCAGTTCTACATTTTGCCAATACCCACTGATATTCGGTATTTTAATAATCCTAGTCACATTTTCCCAAGAAACTATTTATTTATTTTTTTTTTTTTTCAAATTATTTAAGAAAATTTGGTAGATTACAATACTTGAAGTATAAAATTGCCTATATAGGTTCCTGTTTTGGTATGGTCTCCATATACCGGCCTCTGTTTATGGTTTTTTGAAAAGTTTAACAGCATTATCCAAACCGTTTTACTGGTATTTGTAGTTTAAAGTGAACGTATAAATTCAGATACTTTTATATAAACATGTTTTCTTTACCCGAATGGAAAAATATTTTTAATTGTTCTTATACCCTCCACCATAGTATGGAGGGTATATCAAGTTTGTCATTTCGTTTGTAACACCTGCAAATACACATTTTAGACCCCACAAAGTATATGTATTCTTGATCAGCATAAAATTCTATGTCGTCCGTCCGTCTGTGGAAATCACTCTAGCTTCAGAACTCTAGCTTCTGAATACCGATATGCGTTATTTTAATGATTTTAGCTACAGTATTTACCGGAATTGTTTTAAATTTCGCATTTGAAGTTCGTAATGAATACTACAGCCTATGAAAATTGTCTGTGCAGGTCCAGGTCTTTGTTTAGCCCCCATATAACGGAACTCCCCAATATTCGGTATTTGGATGATTTTAGCGACATTATTTACCGGAATTGTTTCAAAGTTCGCATTTGAAGTTCGTAATGGATATTACAACCTATGACAGAAAATTGTCTGTGCAGGTCCAAGTCTTCGTATAGCCCCCATATAACGGAACCTCCCTATATTTGGTATTTTGATGATTTTAACAACATTATTTACCGGAATTGTTTCAAATTTGGTATTTGAAGTTCGTAATGAATGCTACAGCCTATGACTGGAGATTGTCTGTGCAGACCCACCCCTTCGTATAGCCCCCATATAACGGTACCCCCGATATTCGGTATTTTGATTTTAGCGAATTATTTACCGGAATTATTTCAAATTTGGTATTTGAAATTCGTAATGGATACTACAACATTTTAACAGAATTTGGACCTTACTCTTGTGCAAATAAGGCTTAAGCAACTCTTACGGTGAATGGATTGTGCTATCAGGTCAAAAGCCCAGCGTCGATTCAAGACCTCAACGAGCGAAGTTGTGCGGCTATCAAGAATATAGGCCAACTTCTTCCAACTTATTATCTCAAAAATTATTTATTTTTGTTTTTGAAATCCAATATAAAACATCTTATTGCAAACTTCTGTATTTAAAATTAAGGATATTGCCCTTACATACTAGCGTTTTTAAATTCACTCATTTGTTTTAATTTGTCAGGTTTAAGAGATATAAATTTACCAATAGATAAAATGTTTACCTTCGATATAAATAATTATATAAATATCAATAAAAATATACTTACCATTTTTCTTTTCAGATTTCTTATCCTTCTTCTCCTCGGTATCCTTTGAGGGCTTAGCGTGCACGGTGTTCAGCAGTAAATAAAGGCATACGCCCAAATAGAGTATTTTCATTTTTGGTAACATTTTGTATTCTACAAAAACGATAAAACTAAACGCGTTTTAAGGAAACAATCGACAGAATGTGAATAGAAAAATAAAAAAGATAAAATAAAATTCTGCAACAAAAACAAATTTTTAAATGCAATTAATTCCAATAACAACAAAAATAAATAACCGGAGGCAGGAAAGGTCATTGGTAGAAAAATTGGCCAAAAAAAGCAATAAAGATTATTGTTTAAAATGTAAGCGGCCGGTAGATACACACATACATATGTACTATGTATGAACAAACATTTAGTTTTATTTATATTCAGAATTATTGTTTATCGTTGTTCTTTTTTTTGGTTTTGGTTTAGAGGTGCATTTGTTGGTAATTGTTTTATGTTTTTATGCAGCTAATTCTTACATTGGCTGCACTTTTTTAATTTGTTTTTTTTTTTTTTTTTTTTTTGTGTATAACAGGTAATACACATATATTTTTATATTCGTTTTTTTTTTTTTTTTGTAGTCTTATCCACGCAACACTTGCCGATTAATAAATGCGGATATTTGATACGCTTATGTGCAATATTTGTAATTTTTATTATGGTCAGTTGGTTGATTCGCTGTGCGATTTACTTTTTGCCTTCAAAATATGGTTTATATGGTTCGCCTTAGCAGTTCTGTTTTACAATTACCCGAAGCCGAATGTGTCTACAAGCAACTGGGCCAACGTTTTTTTTTTTTTTGTCTTCTTTTATTTTTAATAATTTTCGGTAATGCATTTGTTTGGCTTTGAAAAGTAGTGGTGCATAAAACCAATTTTTTTTAATTCAACCAGTGTACGACGTGCTTAGAGGGGGGGAAATGAATGAATGTGTGCGCTCGATATAAATAACAACAATTGCATGTTCGTTGTACTTTGTTGTAGGTGAAGTCGAGTTGGTACATTAGAACAAATTGCTGCGCATTTTAATTAAAATGTGTTCTATCCAAAAAAAAAAAAAAAAAAAAAAAACGTCTCAATTGTTGTATAATTTATTTATTACTCAACAAAAATGAAATATTTCACGGCAATCGTAAAACAGCCACAAACAGGAAGGTAATTCTATTTGAATACCTAGTCACTGGAATTCTTTTTCTCAAATTTCAGCATTTTCATGTTGACTTTTTGAATGTACAATAGTAATGCCTTATTTTGCATGATTTTTCCTCATTTAGACTTACTATTTTCGAATGTTCATTTGTAGTTTTTTTGGGTAGTATAAAGCGGCAAGGGACAAAAATGGTATTTATAGATTTTATGTGTTTATTGGGTAAGTGAAACTATACGAATAAAATCATTTCAGATAAGCTATGAACCAAATACTTTATTGTGTACGAACGGTTTTTTCAATTCGATTAACTTCATTTAATTGTCTCGATTTCTTGAGAACTGAAATTGCAGGAAGTGTTGTACCGAATCATGTGGTGGCGAAACTGATGTTGAAAAACTTTACCAGTTAAAGGATAATTACCTTTTTTAAAATCGCAAAAAAATCAAAAAAAGAGACTACCTCATTGCAAAAAATTCTAAAATCGGGAAAATTCGAGCAAAAAATGTCAATGGAATCGAATTTCAAAATTATAGTACATTCTATTGACAAATTTCGTAAGGACCTTTAAACATTTGGTGTAAATAATCCGCGAACAAGTTGAAGAATTTTTTTCAATTTGTTTTTTCTTTTTTTTTTATTGAGTGCGCAATTCGATGTTAAATGGCGATCTTTCATGTCTAAAATTGGCATCTAGCATTCAACTCCAGGACCTACATCGTGCTTCAGGTGGAAGATGCGAACACATTTAAACAAACCAAATTGACCGACAAAGAGTTATGGGCTCATTCCAAAACGTGGACCTACTTCTTTCATATGACAATAATCTGTTCAATGAGAACTCAAAAAGCAAATTTCATGGAGACTGCAATCAGTGAAATACCGAATATGAAGGGCGCAAAATAGTAGAGCGAATTGTACATTTGGGAAGAAAAGTATTCCTACCCTGCCAGAAATTCTTCCTAAACTTTCAGGATATCTTAAATCGTATTTTTAATATTAATTTCCGCAAATGTAGGTAATTTGCGAAGGAACCATCCTTGCAAAAAACGATCACGGTTTGGTATCACCATCATATGATTTAAGCTTTTTTCGGGGTCTTGTTATTTTTTTTTTTTTTTCATTATTTAGGCCTTTTTTTTGTTGCTAAGCTCTTTACCAAAAAAGGAAAATAAAAAAATAAATAAATAAATAATAATAAATATTTTAGATGTTCTATATCATATAGGTTTATAACACTCAAATTAAAGCCTATGGCTTTAACACCAGCGGTAGGTGAACAGCCTTGAATATTTATTTCTATTTAGAAATTACTATGGAGTCAATACCAATAAAAATAATATAAATTGTGCCGCATACATAAGTCAGATCTGTGATTTATTGTGCCTTAAAAAATATGAGTTAACGACTAAAAGTACGGGCCGGCAACGCAGACTGGGCCAGCCAGTAAATAAAAAAATAAAATCCGTTAAAAGTTCTATTAAAATCTTAAAAATATCGAATGTTGCCATTATAATAGGGTCTATACGACGACATGGTCCTGCATAGGCCACTTTTATCATAAGCCATTGCAATATTCAAAAAAAAAAAACTTGAAAACAATCGGTGAATAATGTCGCTAAAATCATCAAAATGCCGAATATAGGGAGGTACCATTATAAGGGGGCTATTTTCCAAAACGTGAACCTGCACATATAATTTTCTGTCATAGGCTGTAGTATTCATTACGAACTTCAAATGCCAAATTTGAAACAATTCCGGTGAATAATGTCGATTAAATCTTAAAAATACCGAATATCGGGAGGTGCCGTTAAATGGGGGCTATACGAAGGCATGTATAATTTTCTGTCATAAGCTGTATCCATTCGAACTTCAAATACCAAATTTCCGGTGCATAATGTCACTTGAATTACCAAAAGAACGAAAATAGGAAGGTACCATTACATGGGTGCTACACCAAAACGTGGACCCATATGGCCCATTTTCAGGTCCAACAGACATAATGTACATTTGAGTAAAATTGTATAAACCTACTTCATTTCGTTCGGAAGCTAAAGTGATTTTCACAGGCGGATAGACGGATGGACATCGCTAAATCGATACCGATTTTTTCTGATATGTTGATGATCTTCATCACATTTTCACCGATTTATCTAAAATGTGGTATTTTAAGTCATAATAGGTTCTAGCTCCGGCTGTGGAACATAGTATATATAGGTCCACGTTTTGGTATAGCCCCTATATATCGATACTTCCTGATATTCGGTATTTTAATGAATTTTGCCAGATTTTTCCACGGCTTTGTCTAAAAATTGGAATTTGTAGGTCGTAATGGGTTCCAATTTCCGATGGCAGAACGTTAAAATTTAGGTCCAAGTTTTCCTATAGCTCACGTATAACGATACCCACCGATATTCGGTATATTGATAATCCTAGTCATATTTGCCACGTTTTCTTATAGCACACATGCAACTATACCCACCCATATTCGGTATTTTAATAATCCTAGTCACATAATCTTCACACATTTATTTGATAAAGACAATCAATGGTAAAATTCGGTTGAATATGAAAAAATCTTTTGAATTTGCCCTGATATTACATATTCGGTGAACGATAGCCGTAAAATCGGCTGAAGATATATATCGAAGTTATATAAAAATCTGAACTGATGTCGATAACATTTAGCAGAGGTATTTCGTGCGCACCAGCCAGCCAGACAGACGGACTGACATCGGTAGATCGACTCCAAATGTTCTGAAACGGATTTGGTCGAAAGAGACTTAGGGTCTAAAACCGTTATTTCGACAAGGCATGTTTTGACCGTATCAAATTGTATATACCCTCTGTAGCCATATGGCTGATGGTATAAAAAACTGCAACAAAGTCAAACGCCATTATTTTTTACATTCTTATATCCTTCACCATAGTATGGAGAGTATATTAAGTTTGTCATTCCGTTTGTAACACCTCAAAATATAAATGTTAGACCCCACAAAGTGTATATATTATTGATCAGCATAAAATTCTATGTCAATTTAGCAATGTCCGTCCGTCTGTCCGACAGTAGAAATCACTTTAGCTTCCGAACGAAATGAAGTAAGTTGATAAACATTTACTCAAATGGGTATTATGTCTGCAAGACTTTTGGTATTGAAAATGGACCATGTAGGTCCACGTCTTCGTATAGCCCGATATTCGGTATTTTGATGATTTCAGCGATATTATTTACCGGAATTGTTTCAAATTTGGCATTTGAAGTTCGTAATAAATACTACAGCCTATGAAAGAAAATTTTCTGTGCAGGTTCACGTTCACGTCTTCGTATAGCCCCCGATATTCAGTATTTAGATGTTTTTAGCGACATTATTTGCCGGAGCTGTCTAAAATTTCGCATATGAAGTTCGTAATGGCCTATGCCAGAAAATTGTCTGTCTATGCAGGTCCACGTTTTATAACCACCATGGTACCTCCCTATATTCGGTATTCTGATGAATTTAGCTACATTATAAACCGATTTTTTTCTTGTTTCGCATTTGAATATTGCAATAGCTTATGACAAATATGTCCAGTATAGACCCTAATATACGGCTACATTCGGTATTTTTAAGATTTTAACAGAATTTTTAACGGATTTTATTGCTTTAAAAATTTTTACCAAATGGTGGAGGGTATTCAAAGTTCGTCACGGCCGAACTTACGGCTTTTCCATAAATACGCATTAAGTGCGAGTATTCCATTCGAGACTTCGTATGCTCAGCAGCCTGCCAGACAGACGGACAAACATGGCACTTCTGGGTCGCATCAAATGATTAGTCATAATTAGGAGGATAGAATTTGAATTCATTTTATTTTCATTACAGTTCTTTTGGCGAATTTTCCATCAGATTTTTTTTTTTTTTGCATTTGGTATGCGGGTTATTAAAAGTCCTATCAAATAATCAATTTTTGGTTCTCTATTACTAATATCGTTCACATGTTCTTTATGCATTTATCCAAGATTTTAATTGCACTGTTTGGATTCAGTCACGTCAGTTTAAGAAGTAACACACCTCCTTTTAAAATTTCGAAAAACAGATTTTTGTTTTTTATGGAGGATTTTTCAATAATACGTTTAAAAAAGTTACATTTATAACAGCTGCATGTTTAAGTTGCATTGGAGCGATATATAAAATGTATGAAATCTAATTTTCATGCGGATTTTTTGTGGGTTATCAGATACATCACTACTTCGGCTTATGTCGGTAATTAAAACATAAATTTTAAAGTTAATCGATTTTTACACGAACACATTTTTCAGTTTCATTTTCAGTTTGAGGCAAAAAAGCACACAAAATATTCATCGCAGCTAGGTGTATATTCGATTTTCTTGCATAAATCAAAGTGAAAACTTCAAATATTTCCTGTTAAGCACGGAATTCAGGCACCCATGCGGATACGAAATGAAAAAAACTGATTATGCAAAACATTTCAAACCACTGGAGATTTCGTTTTGGTCATTTCATACTGGTTGATTATTACGAACGGACGAATGGACAAAACATGCAATTTTCATGTTGGGTCTTCAATTTCCTCTTATTTATTTTTTTATTATTTCAAAAGCGAATAAAACGCAACTTTCCAAAAGCAGACAAACATTTATTTTTAGTTGTATTTTTTGATTTTCGTGTTTTGTTTTTTTTTTTTCATTTCTTTTTTTTTTTTTTTGCTTTTGGCAAACACCAACATGACCATAAAAATTACACCTTTAACTTAAACTTGTATGTTGCTCTATTAACCAGAAGAAAAATGTAAAAAAACAAAAACAACAAAAAGACACGCACACACGATTTCTGATCTCTTAGCCAACGAACGATCGAACAAACGAACGAATGTCTTAGCCCAGTTCAGTTAGAAGCGAAATTTCGTACGTTTTACGTTCGCTGAAAACACCTAGCCGTTAGAAGAAACGTCCGCTTTAACTGCGTTGTACATCCGCCGTTCACATGCGCTTACCACGAACGTTACAAACTGTTTGAATTGTGGCCAAGATCATAATAGACCATAATGCTGAGCCAGACCCCAGCCAGACAAACATCCACCATGTCAAGCGGCAGTCACCACCAGACAACATGCATACAATTTTCAAAGATCACAAAATGAACTCCCAATTCATAAATCTCTTAGCCAAACAAAGGGGTTCATTTTGTCTACGATTCTCTTAAAATCAATTCTCTTAAAAAATCCCACAGAGCCAAGGTTCACAAATGAACACCCGCCATTACTCATGCAATCAGCTGTTAACGTTTTGTTGGTTACCTTAATTCTACTGCATATTTACCATAGTTTTGTTGTTGCATTTTTGTTTTCGCTTTTAGTGCGGCTTTTGTTTTGGTCAGCTGTTTCGCTGGCTTAATCAATTCAAACAAACAAACAAACGAGCAGACCATCAACAACACTGCCTTAACGCCACCTCTATCTTGCAATGAAATGCCGGTAGTGTTTCGGTCATTTAATTCTTGAAACCAGTTTTACGTTTCTGGCTTTGTTTATTTTCGTTTTTTTTTTTTATTTTTTATTTTGTAAACGGATTTTGGGTTTGTTTGAAGTCTTTTTTATACGTATATGTTTATTTATGGTTTTTATTTTGCATATTTCTGAATACGATTTAAATAAGTTTTCCGATTTCCCATTTCATTGACATTGTTTTTTTATTTTCAAAAAGCCTGCTGTGGCTTTAGAAAAATTTTCAGTAACATAAACATTTTAGGGGTACGAGCATGGTAGAATAATACAGGTAACAGCAAGTGTAGTTGTACAACAATCGTAAAAACAACCACATGCAAATTTGTTTTTGTAAGTAATACATGTGTCAGAGTTATGTGTCCAAAAATGTAAACAAAATAATTAATTTTCAATAAATTATTTCAATTTCAAAAATATACATTTATTAAATTGAAAAATACCGAATGTAGCCGTATATTAGGGTCTATACGACGACGTGGACCTGCATAGGCAACTTTTATCACAAGCTATTACAATTTTCAAATGCGAAACTTGAAAAAAAGTCTGTTTATAATGTAGCTAAAATAATCAAAATACCGAATATAGAGGAGGTATCATGTGGGTTATAAAACTGGGACCTGCACAGACAATTTTCTGTCATAGGCTGTAGTATCCATTACGAATTTCAAATACAAAATTTTAAGCAATTCCGGTAAATAATGTCGCTGAAATCATCAAAATACCGAATATCGGGGGGGGGGGTACCGTTATATGGGGGCTATACGAAGACGTGGACCTACATGGCCCATTTTCAATACCAAAAGTCCTGCAGATATAATACACATTTGAGTAAAATTTTATCAACCTACTTCAATTCGTTCGGAATCTAGAGTGATTTCCACAGACGGACGGACATCGCCAAATCGACATAGAATTTTATGCTGATCAAGAATATATATACTTTGTGGGTTCTGAAATGTATATTTCGGGATGTTACAAACTGAATGACAAACTTAATATACCCTCCATACTATGGTGGAGGGTATAAAAATATATATTAGTGTAGTGTATATACCGGACCGAGTTTTATTAAATGGGAATATTCGGTTGAATATGAAAAAATCTATCCAATATGGCCTGTGGAAATTACATCTTCGGATGAAGATGTATATCGAAGGTATTTAAAAATCCAAACCGATCTCAATAAATTTTGGCAGATGTGTTTTCGAGCTGTATCTGATGTCCGGTATCAAATATCATTGTTGTGGAGTGCATTTTACGAATGTGAGGTTAAAGTCCGTCCCAATGCAAAATCGGATGAAACATACATATTGTAACTATAGCTATATCTGAACCGATTTAACCAAATTTGAAGTAAGTGATTCTAGGATGAATTCAGTCGGAATTGGCAAGATTACTGAAAGAATAAGCTAATATTGTAAATTTCTCATCTGACCTAAGTCAGGAATAAATTGGATTTGCAACGTTTGGACAATATTGGATGGCCCTTTCTTTATACCCTCAGCCATATTGCTAGTGCACGATATTAAAAATATTAAAAATATCCATATCTGAACCGATTTACAACAAATTTCATTTCAATCGAATAATAAATGCGGCCTGCATTTTGTTCACAAGAATACATGGACGGACGGACTGATATAAATCGACTCAGAACGTGATTCTATGAATATCCTCAAAATTAACTATGGGTCTATCTCTCCGCCTTCTCCATGTTACAAACAAATGCACAATGACATAATACCCTTACCACTATGTGGTGTAAATGAGGTTTTAGGAGGTTGATATCTCTGTTTATATTAGAGCTGCGAGATCTTTTCGTTGTTAAAAGACAAAACGTAGTTGCTTCTTAAGTCTTTTGTTTCTTTCCAAAATTATTCCCTATATTTATATTCATGAATTTTGTTAAACATAAGGTAAATAAAAATATTAAGAATTCATTAATCGTTTCCAAGTGATAATGGATTCAATATCAATTTGCTTTCATACGCCTATGGTTGTCTTACAGAACATAAAACAACAACACCAACAATGTAACAATTATTAACATTTACACTTCCTGTTTAGATAAATCGTTTTTACTGATGTCGATGGCAGCTGAGATAATGAAGTCAGACAGTTTGTAACAAAAAACGCTTAGGGCTAAATCCATTCTTATTGGTCTCAATTTCTGCTGTTGTTACTCCTCTTATTGTCTTCAATTAAATTCCACTCCAGCAAAAAGTGTGGGTGTCTCAAGACTTTTGTCAAGAGTGCACTTAACCAACTCCAACAAAAAAAAACAAACATTTTGATTTATCTATTTTCGGTCGAGATTTTTTTTCTTTGACAACTACAACAATTTCTTAAAATGGCAAAATCATGCCAGAATAGTTTTTTTTTTAATTTTTGTAAATAGTTTCGTTTGACGTTGTCGTTGTTGCTTTTGGTTTGGCGTAGTTCAGTTTTAAGGAGTGTTGCTGCCAAGCATATCTTTACGGTACTTGTAACTGAAATTTGTATCTTTGATCTATGACTGAACTTCGAGCTATTATTGTCTGTCAGCTCTGCCGGCCTCTCCGGCGGCTTGTCCCTTCCGTTGTTTGTTTTTGTTCGTCTGTCTGCCTGTCTTATTATCTGAATATCTTGTATTGTTTAAATTCACCGATAAAAACAGCTCTACTGTCAATTTTGTGTTAGATTAGTGTCAATTGAAACTTTGTTCATTTGTTTGGAGGTTTTGTTTCTATTTTTTTTTTTTTTTTTTTTTTTTTGGCAATTTAAACAACTTAACCTTGATGTGGAATTGTGCGATGGTGGTATTTTACATTGGCATTTCGTAAAGTGTCACGGGTCAAGTGGTACTTTGTAGGGCGGATAATTGACAGACAGAAGTTGTCTTGTGACGCCTTTTTTCAGCGAAGATTACAGCAACTTTGGCTTTGTTTTAATGACACATGAAATGTTTTTGATTGGAGGTAGGAATTTAATACTTTTTTTTAAGTCATAACTGTTTTATTTGAAAATAACAAAGTTGTGTGTTTGCGATGGTTGCACAAGTAATTGTTTAAACTTATATATTGGATGACAGACCAAAATAAAATAATATATGAGAACCGCAAACGAAAATTTGAATAGATTGACATCATTAATATTCTCGAGGAACATATAAGGTAATCTAAATTATTGAACAGGATATTCAAACATGAATACTTATCCTTATATTTATATCTTAAGAAAGGTAATTGTAAACCGGCTCCGACAACAGAACAAAAAACTTTTATAACAATACGTATCACTACGTGGAAATATAAAATTGAAATTCTGGATATGCATCGCTTAGAGGTAAAATTCGTCTTTAAGTACTTTATGAAATTGAAATCTGTGTTGGTACATGGTATACCATACAAAAGAAGCAATCAAGTCCATGATCCCAAACGAATTAGACGGGGTGGTTACATGGTGGCTATACAAAACGGAGACCTATATAGACCATTTTCTACCACAAGAATTATATATCTATTTCGAGCCTTAAATACTAAAAATTGAAACAATTTCGTGGAAAATTTTGGCCAGAAGCATCAAAAAAACCAGTAAGCAAAAGTCGGGCGGGCCGAGTGCATGATATCACTTCGAGAATCATTATATTAAACTCGGAGCCGAGTTTCACAAATGGAAACGTACGTCCCGAAATTCACTCCATTTTGGCTGATATTAGCCATTATTTTCACAATAACGTGAAATCGGATTAAGGATATATATGGGAGCTATATCCAAATTAGTCGTTCTCGATAAAATTGGGAAAAGTATTTCTGAGCTCTATAAGATATCCTGTACCAAATATCATTGTTGTCGAATGCATATTACAAATATGAGGGACTTAAACACCAAATCGGATGAAACATATATATGGTATTCACGTCATTAGGACTGATATTGACCAGAATCGGTTGAAGATATATATATGGCAGCTATATCCAAATCTCATCCAATCTTGATAAAATTTGGCAGAGGTATATCCGAGCTCTGTAAGATATCTAGTACCAAATATCATTGTTGTCGAATGCATATTACGCATATGAGGGCTTTAAAACTAAATCGGATGAAACATATATATGGAAGCTATATCTGAACCGATTTTCTCCAAATTTGGTGTATTTACTTCTAGACTGAATTCAGTCGGATGTGCCAAAATTCAGACCATTTGGACTGGTATTAGCCATTTGGTGCACAAGAAACCTAAAATCGGATGAAGATATTTATGGGAGTTATATTCAAATCTGATCCAATCTTGATAAAATTTGGCAGAGATATTTCCGAGCTCTATCAGATATATAGCACCAAATATCATTGTTGTCGAATACATATTACGCATATGAGGACTTAAAAACCAAATCGGATGAAACATGGGAGCTATAGCTATATCTGAACCGATTTTCACCAAATTTGGTGTACTTACTTCTAGACTATGTGCCAAAATTCACACCATTTGGACTGGTATTAGCCATTTGGTCCACAAGAAACCTAAAATCGGATGA